TTATTTATTTTCTTCCTCTATCACGTGCGATTACATTCAGACGTACATTGTAAGACCAAGCCATGTTGGATTGGTGGATGGCTTTCGTTGCATCCCGGATGATTGTATTTCGTAGAATGATACTTTGTGCGGTAGCAGTTTTTAAACTCCTTCTCGTTTGTAATCTCATCTACATTTGCTGTAGATATGGTACATATTTTTACGTTTTTTCTCACATAAAGGAAGTAATACAACCTCTCTAAACTGGTATTTCAAGATAGTTCTGACAATGTTTGATTGTAGAAATATTCCTTTGTAGCAATCTTAATCAGAGTACAAACTTGGTACCGTTCAAGGCGTTTCTTCAGCAAATAAAACATATCGTTCCGAAAGCATTCACTCCATATAGGTAACTTGCTAATTCTAAAATCTACCTTCCGTTCTGCTAATATTGAAACAGTCTTCATTCGTCTATTTTGTCCCTGTAATGGCGTATTTTTCTTTTATATATTTTTTTTAACTTTCAGGAAACCGTCTCTTCTAATCTAATGTTTCATATATCTATTTTAAAACTTTAGATTTAGCTTGTATTTACTACCGTATGTATTACTTTACACAAAAGAGGTAGTTATAACGGAAATCAAACTGTAAATATTGGTATCTTTTTCCTTATATGTGGCTTTCATGATTATTTCAGTTTATTTCAAATTTTGAACAAAATGTAATAGAAATCGTTCGTTAGAATCGTCACTAGTTTTCTGAGTATTTATTTATATTTACTCTTATTGATTTTATACACACGTATATATTCTATACTTATGCAAAGACTCAGAAATAAACAGAGCAGCGTGAGTTTGTTCTTGAGCATTTGTATGTGAATCGCATTAAAAGCAGAAATTCAAGATTAACTTCAGGCAAATTGAAACCTCTAATTTTTCAATTGTGCAATTATATTCATAAAAACTGAGATATAAAATAGTTAGACCAGAAAAATGTGTTATTGGTTTCTATGCGCACGACATATTTATTTTGAAAACCATACAAACCAATAGTTGTAAAAGCCATAAAAAAAACTTTCGAGAATATAAAAAACACAAAAGGTCGAAATAGGTCAAATTTAACTTATTTCCATTTTCTCTTTAGATCAATAAAAATCCTTTCTTCTACCTATACAATATTCGACATATCGCAGTCTTTTCCTTACGCGTGAAAAGTAATAGTAAGATACTCTTTTGAGTAAACTATCACATTAGCACATGAATATTAATGTGTTTTCCGCATGACTGATATGTAAACATTCAATGTTGTTTTGTATCTACTTTATTTGTATCATGTTGTTGTCGGTGACGATGTTCATGCACATATGCCGACTAGCTTACCGAAGATGCATAACCAATATGTGAAACGTTTGTAATTAATTTGTGGGTTTGCTCAAGGATTAACCGTGCTGATTAGATTGAGCATGGACAAAGCACTGGCAAAAGAAAATCAATCGCAAGTTCTGTATCATCTTTTTCATTAGAACTACGTAGCTGTTTAAATCCCAGACCTGTCAGATCAAATGGTACAAGGTGTCTTACTGCAACTGTTGTCGGTCTTTCTGTTAATTTCAGAAGAGAAAATTGTAATTGTGTTCGAAATCGTACATTGTTTCACAAAGAAGACATAAATAAGAATGATAAATTTATGTTTTTATTAGTCGTCTTATAAACCCATCTGAAATACAACACATATTAACCTTTTCAATTATCTAGCTTCAAATACTCTACTGAAATAATCTTTGGCAGTATAGGTTTAACATGTTTAAAAAGAAATGAACATATGCATGCAAATTAGAGTACAAAACATACTTAAGGTGGTGAATTCTACAAATATACACTAAATTTCGGCTCTGAATGTTAATACTTAATTAAAAACTATACTTATTTATTTTATTAAACAAAACAAAAGTATAAAGACCAACAAGACAAAGACCGTTATAAGACAGCTTCAATATATTGTACCATACAGGTTAAGAACAGAAAGGATGTTCTTACCATCTATTTTGTATCTTGAAACTGTTTTAAGAAAACCTTTATACCACTTAATTTTATTCAAAGGACTTTCTGTAATACAATTATTTCTTTATATATTTTTTTCTTTATTAACTTGCAAGTCAATCAGAGTGGTAACGATGTTTACCTCTACAATTCCAATTAACTTATGCATATTTGATTTTCGTATTTATATATACTCATTCAAAGTGCATTTACTTATAATGTAGGGTAAAAGTTTACTAGACGAAGTTGTTTATAAAAACAAGGGTCACATGCATACATAAGCCCACTTATTGTCGGAACTTAAAATGATTTATGTGTCAATATTTATTACACATCACATGACCCACTTGAATGGGAATTAATAAACATATCAATAACGTCCTTGAACTAGATTTTGGTCACGTTTGTTTACATTTACATTTAAAATTGTTGACAAAACGTCGGTCAATAGTCTATTTTCAAATCATTGTAATGTTAGTGCATGTTGACAAAATTACTTTTCATATTTTCGGCGGTTTTATTTCTCTTTCTCCTTTTTGATGAGTATTGCAAGGTTAAACATTTTGCTATAAAAATCTTATTGCACTTCATAGTTTTCAAAAAGACTAAAAATACCAGACATATATAACGATAAATATTTGCTGACTTGAAAAAAGGGGTCAAAACATTGTCCTAATCAAATATAGGCGCTTAAATATAAAAGAAAACATTTGATAAAGTTACATTATACATTTTAATCTATTTCTGTGTAAAAATGATATGTATAAGAAAGTATCTGATGGCAATTTTCAAATATGATTAATTGTTTAACGCTTGCTAACGGCACAGAGGCAAATATTCCATATACATTCATGTGGAGAGAATATTTTCTGAAAATAGGTTCAGCCGGGACGAATGACTGGACATTTAATTGACCATCGGAAAAAGAGGATAAAGGGAGAGACATTTTGTCAAGAGTTATTCCTATGCAGAGACCCTCAAATTCTCCTTATACGATGCATCACGACGCGCAGACGTTTCAGTGTTTAGGAATTAAGGGGAGTCGATTCAGTTTCACAATGTTGTCTTATTCTTATTTTGAGATATGTTATAAGTTTAGATAAGATTTTCTATAGATTATAAAAAAAGGTTTTCGTGCTTGTTTTTGGTATAATAGGACAAAGCTCTACGTGGAATTTTCTAATGCATTTTAAAGTTCTCTTATGAAGGAACTTTGTATAAAATGCACGAACAAGCAATCGAATAAAAGTACGAAAATGCAAACTGATGGTTGACGGAATAGATGACTTTACACTCACTCCATCCGACCTCACTCAGCAATAATATAAACACATCGAAATTTGTTCTTCAAAATATTTAGGATTTGGGGTTTTGTCAAAATTAATCCCCTGTGTTAAATAGACAGTTGATCTCTTGTTGACTTCAAGACAGTTTTTTTGTATTATTTAGGACGCATTAATTGGAATCAAACGACTATCTTATTTCTGTTAATAAAACAAATTACAATAAAAATTGTAAACTGTTTCGATTGAGACCTTCTTATCTATGAATAGAAAGACACAATTCTGATCTATTTATTATACATTAATCTAGTGAACATGAAAAAAACAAACAAAACCATGCCACAATTTGAGACAGGAAAATATGTCAAATTTACACATCTTGCATTGAAAGTCTATGCACGTGTGTTCTGAGCATTGAACAAATCAATGTCTTTTTTTTCGGTTTATGACTTCGTTAAAATATATACTCTGAAGTGCTGCTATCTGTATTGAAATTTAGGATTGAATGAGTTTATTCAGCAAATTAAGTACTTTGAGCTAAAGGTTCATTTACTGAGAACATTCTTTGATACGGTAAAGTTTTAAAATATCACGTTTTGTTTACGACTGTGTTTTGTCTCTCTCTATTATATTGTTATGATTTGGTTAAGTTCTTTAACCGTACTGCTTTGTACTGTTTGTTCCATAATGGTCCTCCTGCTTGAACACTGATCGACATAAAATGTGGGGTTTATTGGATCTCAGAAATAAGTTAAACCCTATGACGTGTTTATGCTTCTGTCCCAAGCAAGTAACCATGTAAATTGCAGAGCTGTTTTTTTAATTTTTGCTTGATTTTTTAGAGGGTAAGATAAATAAGGTATTGATGGTGACCTATAGTCTTTGTTCAATTTTTTAACACATTATTATGCCTAAGAACAATTTAGATCTTGACTTATTAAATTGATAACTGATTGTTAAAAAGAATGTATTTACCTCCTTTGCTTGTCTTGGGCTCTGTGTCAATGACGTACTTCCCACTTCTCGTTTTATTTTTACAAAATCGACACAAAATTATTGGCAATTTTATTAACTTAGGCATACAAAATTCCAAGTTAACGCAAGTTTCAATATGGTAAACTATAACAAAATAAAACTGAAAACTGCACAATATAGTTGAGATATGACATAGACAGATAACTTCAAAGCTTAGTGTTAGTGTTTTTCAGAATACTTTATTATAAATTGACAATATCATCCAATATGCCATTAAGCTTTATAATGTCAGTTGGTAAGTTTTAGGAACTGGACGTCTCAACAAACTTATATTTCAAAAGTTCATTCAAATTCAATGATCGCACTTCTTGACATTCTTTAGTTTTGCAAACTATTTCATTGAAATAAGTTAGATGATTGAACAAGCCCTGCATTTGCTTGTGGATATATTACTTCATGGGTGTATGTTTAACCATTGCAGACTGTAATAATAATCCTTCTTCTGGGCAAATTTCTTAACACATGATTGCTTTAACAGTTCCTTTGATGAAAGCTCGACAAATCGGACAACGTCTTAGAGCAAGAGCACAGGTTGCACACGATGCCATGTGGCCAAATGGCAGGAAAACGATTGACACGGGATCATCTAGACATATTTTGCATGTATGTTGGTTTTTCAAGTTCCTATTTTCCTCTTTAAGACTTTTTACTGATACTACAAAGTGCATAAAGAAACCATGAGCATTACATAAGGAACACCAAGTAAGTAATGGTATCAATTTCCCTTTAGTCTTGATTCTAAATTCTAGATTAATTGGTTGAATAATAGCAATCTATTTTATTGATTTAGTCAGAAAATTATTAAATGTTGAAAAATGATGTACCGATTTGAACTAGTAAAAATTAGGATTTATAATAGAAATGAAAGGATATGGAGTAAATGTACATGGGACAAAATCGCACACAATACATAGAAAACGTAGAAAATTATCAATGAACAGGACTAGGTCATATATTTGCCTAGGAGGTCACAGATATAAGGAACAAAGGCAAAATTGGCAAAACATTACGCATATAAAATAAAAATTCAGCATTATAACCCAGAAAAACACGAGAAAACGGGCTGTAACATTAAGGTACTCTGTTAGCTAAATATTACCTGGCTACTTCAATTTTGAAACTAACTTGTTCTATATTATATATATCCAATAGTATATAGATATATTATATCCTCAAACTCACATTTCTATTTCCATCATGATAATTCTACGAGTGACCTCAAAATTGTTGCGTCGATTGACCGAATGAAGTTGGCATAACAATATTTGCTGTCAATAAAGACGTGTTATTATTATTGTGATATTATGCTTATGCACTAGGGGATATTTAGAATTTCGATTCATGGAAGACAAACTTGAAATTGTCGTAAAAGAGGGACGAAAGATACCAGAGGGACAGTCAAACTCATAGATCGAAAACAAACTGACAACGCCATGGCCAAAAATAAAAAGACAAACAGACAAATAATAGTACAGATGACACAACATAGAAAACCAAAGACTAAGCAACACGAACCCGACCAAAAACTGGGGGTGATCTCAGATGCTCCGGAAGGGTAAGCAGATCCTGCTCCACATGTGGCACCCGTCGTGTTGCTTATGTTATTACAAATCCGGTAAATAGTCTAATTCGGTAGTTCTTCTTCCAGATAAAAATGTGATATACTTTCATTCAATGTCTGGGTCAATATTTGCCTGTTCGTCTTTACGTGTATCCTGGATGTGACTTTTCACTTTATGTACTGATTGAGAGCTACTTTTAACAGGATGATTACAAGCCGATTGTTTTTGTTCTCTTTCTTCTCTTTCATTAATTGTTTCAAACAACAAACTAGCTGTTATATCTGAAAAAGCACATCATAAAATATTTACATATGCATGTGGGAAAATAACATTGCAATTTGATATATTCTAAATAATGCACTACTGCCTGTTATTTTATTTAAATATGCTACAAAGATACAAGTAAGATTGGTCGTTTGAATTGAGTTTTTACTGCATATGAGAACTTTCTTTTGTTTACTAAATCGTCCTCTGAAAAAATTGTAATTCCATCAATCGATTATCTAATCATTTACTACTGACATTACCTTGAATTCCAGCTGTTTGTAAGCTCGTATAAGCTGCTTTAACTACAGTTGGTTCATATCCAAATTCTAAAATTGTTTGCACTGCTGGATTATTGGTGTAACCATTTAACCCTTTTGACTTGATCTTTTGTTCCGATTGTGATTTCTGTAATACCAAATTGTAACTTAGGTTATTGATTTAATTATTTTAAGATAAATGCACCAATTACTTTATTTAGTATTATAATACATGTAATCCTGGATATTAGTAAAATAGTTATCTGTACATCAAAAATGTCTTTTTAAAAGAATAGATTAGTTAATCATTCACAACGTTAAAAAGTCAGACAATTTAATTTCTCTAAAATGTAAAACTACTTGTTTTTATAGACATTAAAGCATTACAGTACTTACATTTGAAATATTTTCAGGATCATATTCATGCTGCACATCTTCAATGAACTTTTCTCCCATGCACTGTTTTACAAATTGGCATTTCGGATACCACCGCGCATGCTCTGTCCATGGCAAATCCCCAACTTCCCATAATTGCAGACCATCTCCGCAAAAGAAACATCTGCAGTGATCTTTTATGATTAGTTATAAATTTGTGCAATTTGAAATGTAATAAAAACTTATTTTGTTAATTATCATGGTCAAGTATAACAATTTTAATAAATGTCTTACCATTTTATGCTTTAAGCATGTTTAGGACCTGATCTCTTATACAAACATTAAGGTACTAATTTCACTGCACCGATTTCGCATTTCACCAATTAATGTCTCTTTGTTAATGCTTGAATGGACCAAACGTAGGCCAAAAATTTACATTAGAGAGATACATTCCTGAATTTACAATGATTTCAAAAATACTAGGGGGTGTTTAACGACCTTGTATTTCAAAAGTGTTTAACAGCAAATGACTAATAAACAACATTCGTATTTTCTTGCCAATACCGACGTACAAAATATATATGGAAGAACGTATTCTTGACATCAACGGGTTCCCGAGAGTGATCGGTTACTTAAAAACCATCGCTCTCTTATAGTATTTATTTGCGATAAAATTTCTCTATCGCTCTCGTGAAACAGTGTTATCAAGCCGCTTATTTGTGGTTACCATTGTTTAAATTATTCTTTTTTTTCATTTTTGAGTCGTCCTATAGCTCACTATACGGTATGGGATGTGCTCATTGTTGTAGGCCTTTCTGTTGCTTACATCCAAGTCATTTGGACTCTGGTTGAGAGTTATATCATTGGCAAAACTTACCACATTTATTATCTTTTATTAAACATATAAACAAAACGAATGGTATCAGGTTAGATCTTTTCCTTACTTTTTAATGACAAAATGATTGAAGCAAGAAATATTAAATTGGTTAACTGATAGCATGCAGTTTTGACATTTACTGCTAAAATCACTCTCAAGATGTAATGCTGATTTAGATATATGATAATTATCAGTACACAATGATTTACACAAATGTATCTCGTGTATTTTTATCCCATGGAAATCATCGTATTCTCAGAAAAAAAAACTTTTGCAAAAGATACTCTCGACAAGTATTATTCTATTTATTTGAAAAAGGATAATACTCATATGAATAAAACCAATAAAAATCAGATATGTTGATTTTATTACAAAACTATATTTACCGGTATAAAAGAAACCCGAATTCACCAATTCTTCTGGTGTTTGAGAGAGGTAAGAAGGCCAATTTGCAAATGATGACAATCGAGTTGTCCTAATAGCATATTTAGGATATTTCGGTTTTTCTAAACAAACGCCCATGCTCATTGCCTCAATATTTGAAGTAAGTGAACTGACAGGGACAGATGTGTGCGGTGATTGAAGTGATGACTGCAAGGCTCTGTTGTTTTCAGGAATGCTAATTAGACCATTTATGAGGTTCCGGGAAAAAGCTGGGAACTCCCAGTTTGTTTTCCTGGGAAATGAACTGTTTTCTAGGTTTTCCTTTTCCAACCAGCTATCTTTTCCGGCTATAACATTATTTTCTATAGCAAATATATTCCGGTCCATGGTAACATTGTTTTCTGAATATGTTTCGTTTGTTCTATTTTCACTTACCGAAGATGTTTCAGCTTTGTTTTCCATCTCCCTTATCACTGATATATTTGACGCTTCTGCGGAGTTTCCACATGCACCAACAGAAATGTCTGCTGTCTGTATGTCATTGTTTCTTGGTATCATGTTTAAGTTTTTCACAACAAAAGAACACTGGGGCAAATTGTCTGTATGTATTTGTACTGGGCTATCGTTTGACTTCCAATTTCTATATTTTAATCCACAAAAAAAGCAGACGACCTCATTTGCGTTTCCCTCATAACGAAATCCAGCTTCGGTAAGTCGTATAACTGAAATTGTAGTATATGGATAATTAGCAAAACTTGTTAATCTGCACCATTCAAACTGCATCGATGCAATTAAAGATGATGTCAGTCCAGTTTTCTGTTCCTTAATAAAATTGGTATAGTCCTGTGGGTTTAACACATACGTTTGCACAATTGTCCTTGGAATGTGATATAGTCTTTTGACAAACTTGTTAATCCATAAACGTGCCTTAGATAAAGGCAACAGTAGTATACCGCTGCTCGAAACTCATAAATCGATAGAGATAAAAACAAATCCGGGTTACAAACTAAAACTGAGGGAAGCACATCAAATATAAGAGGCGAACAACGACACAACAAATACACAACATTAAAATGTAACACACACAGAAACGAACTATAATATAACAATGGTCATTTTCCTGACTTGGTACAGGACATTTTAAGAAAAAAATGGTGGGTTGAACCTGGTTTTGTGGCATGCCAAACCTCCCGCTTTTATGGCAACGTCAAACTCAACACCAAAACGACAACATCACATGACAGGACCACAATACAAATAAATGGGAGAACATATAGGACAAAGAAACTCACGAATAATACCTAACAAAAGGTATTAGGCTTAAAATTCAATACGCCAGACGTGCGTCTCGTCCACACAAGATCAACCAGTGACGCTCAGATGAAAAAAGTTTGAAAGCCAAAACAAGTACAAAGCTGAAGAGCACCGAGGACCAAAACTTCCAAAAAGTTGCGCCTAACACGGCCAGGGTTTTCTGCCTGGGACAAGAACATCCTTATTATTTAGAATAGTTTATAATTTTGCAAACAGTTAATTTTATGAAATGACTATATAATAGATATACATGATAAAACCGAAGTTGGGACTAACTACAGAATAAAAACGGATGCGTTACATAAAACAACTTAATCCAACACATAAAAATACACAGCCGAGTTAGCCAAAGCCTCAACGCACAAGGTGACGTCACATTTGAAATTCTAAAAAAACACACAAAGTGACGTCACATTTGAATTTGTAAAAATATTTCCCATTCCTATGATGTTCTATGATTCCATTCATTTTTGCTTTATGTTTAGAAAAGTAATCTACAATGTCAATTTTGGATTTCTCAATTTGCTTCTTTTGTTCTTGCCAATCCATTCGTTTGAAACCCATCATTATGCAACCAAGAACACATAAAAGAACTGTAATGGATGTTCTTCTTATTGGTTTTGCAGGAATGGGTATAGAATTTTCATGCTCAAGATTTTGAACAGAGAATTTGTTTCCTTCACACGAACTACGTTCAATGTCTGTTTCAACGAAATGTTCTTCCAACACTTTATATCCATCCTTCACAGGTTCATTTACATAAATGTCAACGTCAGTACTGTCTTCACCATTAAAGTCTGGTACTGCTATTTCGATAGCTAATATATACAAAATCACAAGAGTTTTCATCGGTTTATCAATTTTATAAAACTTATAAGTAGAACCTATGAGTGTATAGGTCTGTCCTTGCATACATCTCCACCGCAAATGTATTGTTTCTTAATCTGAAGCTGATGTATATTAAAAGGGAACAAACATTTGATTTGTTTGGTAAAAGGGAGCAGGAGGAATTTTGAAAGGAATATATTGACCTTGCTAAAACACACGACAGGATGAAAATTACCAATATTCTATCCTTGAAATATGAGCAGGCATAGCAATAGGTTAAATGAATATTTGAATATTCAGTCCTTGGACTATAGTCCTAGTTCATTTCCCAAGACAATCAAAAGATCATCAGACGACCAAACATTGCCTGTTTGATTTGGCGGGTGAACATCAAAAATAATTACATAAGATCTGATTATAAGAAGCTTATGCAACCAACTATAATTTGTAAAGGGTTTTGCGGAAACCTCTATATGTTTGCATGCGATGACTGTCAGTGTAAAAGGGTAATATACATCGCCAAAAACTAAGTCCGTTTATCAGTAAAATACAAAAAATTAAAAATAAATGCTTTTAATACTGTCTGTAGATCAAAATAAAGCTTCATTTCAAGTTTCATTAAATTTCAAGAAGGTCTGACAAAGTTATTGAAACTACTTTAACCACAGATTGATTAACTTAAATGTTGACGACGCCGCCGACGGAATGTATGATCGCTATGTTTCGCTTCCGCGACAAAAGGACACAAGCTCGACAATAAAAAACAAGAGTGCACACGCTGAAAGGTCTCGCCTGTTTTACTGACCATTGATTTTATATTGAAAGTCTTAAAGATAAATGTTTTACTACAAGTATCACATAAGCTTAACATTTTTAAAAATCCATGACAATGAGGTCAAGGTCATATCAAAACTATCACACAGACATGTACACCTTACAATTATTCCATACACCAAATATAGTTGACCCATTGTTCATGGTAATTGAAAAGCATAGCAAAACACAAAAACCTAGTGTTAACCAATGAACCATAGAAATGAGGTGAAGGTCAGATGATACTGGCTAGACAGACATGTACACCTTACAAGCATTCCATACACCAATAATAGTTGACCTATTGCTATTAGAATTGAAAAAAAGACCAAAACACAAAAACTTAACATTGACCAATGAACCATGAAAATGAGGTAAAGGTCAGATGACACTGGCTAGACAGACGTGTACACCTTACAATCATACTATCAACAAAATAAAGTTGACCTATTGTTTATAGTGCTTGAAAAACAGACCAAAACACAGAAATTTAACATTGACCAATGAACCATAAAAATATGGTGAAGGTCAGATAACACCAGCTAGACAGACATGTACACCTTACAATCACTCGATATACCAAATATATTTTACCTATTGCTTACAGTACTTGAAAAACAGACCAAAACATAGGATAATAGGCATATGACAGACGGAAACTTCGTAACATAAGGTATCTGCATACCAGGTCTTCTACCTTCTGAAATATAAAGCTTTATACAAATAATTAACGCGGTCGCCGCTATCGGATAGTAATACATTTGTCTCGCATACTGCGACTTTCGTCGCAGGCGAGACAAAAACCCGTCACAATCAAAATGACACAAACACTTGAGAAACTAAAACATAAAAGTACGCAGCATAAAAGAGCAAATACACAAATAAAATCTTTTTTTCTAGTTATTTTTTTTTATAATTTACAAACGCACGACTTTGGAACACATAATTTTGAACCTAAACTTTTACGTGCTATATTAATATAATCACTCGTAGATAAAAAAAAAAAAAAAACATGTATGTAGAATACTTACTTTAGTTTGACCTTTTTTATAAAACAACTAACGAAGATCTCTGTTTTAAATATTTATTTATTTAATTTAAATCTATCTTGCCGACGCTTGCAATACTTATATCAAGTCTTCTTCGTTTGTTTACATATGATCGACTCTGTGTTTACTTCTTATTTATATGATTTAATATTCTAAATATAGCATACCTTCGAGACTATTCTAGCACTTTTCGGCTCGTGATGGAAAAATACAATAATGACTATTCGTCCGAATATATATTTTAATTTTACATAGTTTATTTTGAGATCTATGACTCATAATGAGGTTAATTGGTAGCACAAAAATTACAAGCATTTAAATGTTGTTTGAATATTGACATGATGGAAGATCTCCATTTTATTGTAATGTTAACGTTGTGACATAAATGTTTATGTACTAATCAAAATTAGTTGAAAGCAATATCAAGGAAGAAGTTTGTCTGTTCTGTTATAAAAAGACGATATGTAAATAAACATATATCATGTATATACATAATTTACAATAATATATATCTTTTGACCTGATTCAGTAATTGTTTTATTAAAGTAGATACTGCTTGTACAACTTCAAGAAATGTATCTTTGTGCAAGTATTTCAACAGATTTAAAAGGTATGTCCAAACAAGGCTTTCATAATCATGATAATTGGAAAAATAGTTTGATTAATGTCACGAAGTTTATTAGTCTAAAAAAACATACATTTCATAAAGCCAAAATTTGGTTTGAGAACTGTTAAACATTTATTAAAAAACTTTAAGCAAAGGAGAAGTTTCAGAAAGTCGCATATTATTAAAGATAATTTCTTTACATAGGTTACAATGTATCATATTACACAAAAGCAGATAAATACCAATTTTATACTATTCTCCAGTGCAGCGGCATATGCACTCAATTGTCTAAAACTACCAATGGTGAAGCACATTTTCTTTTTGACTGCAAAATATTGAAAGTAACAAACGTGTAATACTGTCCAGCATTATAAGAGTCAATTTAAAAATTCGGCAATTTGACCGTAAAAACGAAGTATTTTAATTTTTTGCAATAACTTTGCAAGGTAAACGTGTTTTGTAAACTATTGTTTGTCTTTTGGTCTTTTATCGTTTTTGCCGTTGAACGCGTTGTCAGTTTGTCGTCGACTAATTAGTTTTCCTTTTGACTGTTATTCGTCAATTCATGCTTAGTATGCTACTGGCGTAACCTCTATTTAAAACAAATAATTAATAGTCATAAAGAAACAGAATTAGAATTTTCTTTTTAAAATCATTTTTTTTAATATGCCTTCGTTTTCAACTGCATTAAAGTTACCTGCACTGGTACTTTGTATGTACATATATATATATTTATATATACATATTAAACTTACGACTGAGCAACACGAACACTACCAAAAACTGGGAGAGATATTCGGTCTTCAAAAAGGGTCAGCAGATGAAACCGGTTTTATTTTTTTAAATGTTTATTGTTCCCATCATAGTTTCTATTTATGTAGGCCCATGGTTTTAGAATTAAAACTATTTTTCTTTTTAAGACATCCAAACACATATAATGATCGCTTTTAGGTTGTTAGCATTTCAAACATTCCAAATACATTTGAAGTAGTCTGGCTGTCAAAAAAGGGGGGAAACATAGGTTTGAGGTAAGTATTTTTAATGTAAATGAAAGTTTGACGTGTTTTTAATTCTATATCTTTAATTATTTTGTTCCCTGAACGTCTCATAATGTTCGGTTATGCCACTTGAAGGGTAAAATGGTAGTATTAGTTCAAAATTGTTTCGTTCGTATCAATAATTTTACAACTTTTAATGGACAAGTTACTTCAATAATATTTGTGTCACGTAGTAAATAGAAAAATGTATTGGTGATTTCGGTTATTAAAACTATGCCAATGAATGTATCTCACCGTCAAAGCAGTTTCAGAATTCCTATATTCATGATTATCAAAAATATTTCGCTTGGAAACCAATGCATAACTCCTGATGTATTAATTCAAGACATGATAAAGAAAAACTTTAAAAGTACAAAGCATCTCTTTATAAGGATGTTCTTATATTTAACCGTTTGATCATCATTTTCGTCATTTATGTGCATTTTGGATGAAACTTTTTCTAAGGACGTATTATGGCATTTACATAAACAGCTACTAAGAAAAGTGAACTTTAATATCAAATGTAAAAAAGAGTATCTGGCTTGTATATGGTTTGAAATATGCTTACCATTATGTATGTGCCTGTCCCAAGTCGGGAGTATGTAATTCAGTGGTTGTCGTTTGTTCCTGTATATCATATTTGTTTGTTGTTCATTATTTTGTACATAAATCAGCCCGTTAGTTTTCATGTTTGAATTGCTTAACGTTTATCATTTCGGTGCCTTTTATAGCTGACTATGGGTATTGGTTTTACACATTGTAGAAGGCCGCGCGGTGACCTATAGTGGTTAATTTCTATGTCATTTTGGTATCTTGTGGAGAGTTGTCTCATTGGAAATCATACCACATCTTCTTATTTTGAATTAAACCTTAATAATACAATAATCATACTTTATCGTTAAAGTGAATCGCTTATTCATTTCAACTGTTACTAAAGATGTTGCATAATGTTATTTCCAGATAACACAGATAGGTATTTCATGTTATTATCAAAAAGAAGTGATGGACACGTCATGTGAGTATTGCATAATAAAAAGAATTTAAGCCCATATGATACAATTGTCTTTACCTAGAGGTGTAAAAATTCGGTAAATGGTATCACTAGTGTAAGGCATGATGAAACGACACATTTGTAAATAAACATCTATAGTAAATGCAATGTCTGCATATTTTTCTATTTTTCAATTATCACCAGAAATATATCTATATAAAAAAACGACAAAACATTTGAAGAAAAACAGATGAAATGGCCCAAACGAAAAACGATACAGAGATAAACACTGTCTAAAATATATACTCATAAAAATTCAGACTGAATAACACGAACCTCATTTAAAACGGGGTGATCTGGAAGGGTAAGATTATCCTGTTCAACTAATGGCACCCGTCATGTCGTACATTGCAAGTCAAAGTCGGTGATTACTCGCAATCTATGATGCCAGAGTCAACCAGATCCTGCTGGCGTCCATAGAAATTTTGTAGGAATGATTTCAACTTTACCATTTCGAACTGTTGGTTCAATCGCGTCCTTCAAAACGGCAACCCTCTTTTGATGAAATACTAATAGAAAGTCCAAGGTATGGAAATCAAACTAAACATAATATCTGATTGGTCTAAAAATAATGATGATTTTTAGCATAGGATTTCTTCTGGATACGGGATTAGACTCCTAAGTAGGTGAATGACAAAAGAAAATAAGACAGTAAAATATCCCGGAACAAATTCTATGTATGTTTTTGAACATATAACATATCATTGAAATCGAAAGATCCTTCAGTTACAAAACACCAAATCAAATCAGGATCTATGCATAGGTTGTTGTATATATTTACTATTTTCGTATCTTATCAACTTTGAAATAGTCTTTACAGAAAATTATTCAAATTGGTTTTCAGTAGTGGTTGGTGTGTTTGCCTGTTTTGTTTCATTTTTTGCTTTATTCTGTATGTAAAATTGGGAATGGAAATGGGGAATGTGTCAAAGAGACAACAACCCGACCATAGAACAGACAACAGCAGAAGGTCACCAACAGGTCTTCAATGCAGCGAGAAATTCCCGCACCCGGAGGCGTCCTTCAGCTGGCCCCTAAACAAATATATATACTAGTTCAGTGATAATGAACGCCATACTAATCTCCAAATTGTACACAAGAAACTAAAATTAAAAATAATACAAGACTAACAAAGGCTAGAGGCTCCTGACTTGTGTTCGGTTTATTCATTTATTTTTATTTTTTTGCTATTGATTTGGATTTTTTATAATCATTAATTTTGCGATTGTTTCCTTATGTTTTGTGTATATTTTATATGCATTTATATTCTCAAACTATTCGTCGAGATAGGTGAAATTTGGAATTCAATATATGCTGTTGCATATCATAAATAAATATATATATAATAACTTAACATGGAAATGAGTACAAGTGATTTTATTGAGTAAAAATAACATAATATAAAATTAAAACTTTTAACAGTAACTAAACATAAAAATATAACAAAGATAACTCTTAATTTGAATAAATTATAAACATTTTGGGTTTGAGAACAGTATAAGCCCTATTCTTTCAGAATTTTTATTTAAAAGCATTTATGTTGTCTGTTCTAAAGGAGGACAATTTACGTTTATATTTATATATTGATATACAGTGTAAGAATGATAACACAATTATGAGTACAAAACATGTATGACAAAAGGAACTAACAATATATAATGTAATGTATTATAGACTTTTATAACCACACAGAAAGTAAAAAATAGCGAAAAACAACAGCTTTCTCATCATAATGCATGTTAATTCCAAGATTTTTTGTATTTGATATCTTCTCTCACACTTTCCATTTTTTCCATATTTCCTGAATCTTCAAAGCTTTTTTTTCAATTATATCCCTTATACGTCTGTATTTGAGAAGTCATCAGTAAATTTCGACATTTGAATTAGAAATTAACATTATTCCTAACCGTTTTTTAATTCATACAAATTTCAAAGTATTCTGGAAACCTTTCAGCACATTATAGCTTTGACAGTTCCTTTGATAAAAGCTCTGCAGATTGGACATCTTCTCAAAGCTGGAGCACAATTGATGCATGCAGCCATGTGACCACATGGGAGAAAAACGATGGTCACCGGTTCGTCCAGACAAATTTTACAGGTTTGCTGATCTTTTAAATTCCTGTTCTCCTCTTCCAAACTCCTGATAGATACTGAAAGTATAGTTTTACAATTAGATAGGCTAGTAAAATATTACTGCAGTTTATGGTCCCTTTTTTAATCGATACTTTTTGCTAAAGATGGAAACGGTCAGTGGAGAAGAAACTTGTAAACTTTGAGATCTATAACAATTATCTACACGAAAAACTGTCTTTTTGATGTCAGGTACTTAAAAAAGGGTGATTAACAAAGTAGCCAATTAATTACAAAGTATTTTTTGACCGAACCGGACAGAAACAATATCTAATAGAACGTTATAAACTGGGTAACTAAGTTTGTATGAACCTGTATCTAATGGCGTTTAATTATAACACGTCACATATGAATGTATGTATTCATTGTCGTTTGTCTTAAATGTTTGTTTTCGGGAATACCTTTTATGTTAATGCATATAAACATACTCACATTCAAGTGTTGGGTCAATTTTCTCAATGTTTTTTGGTGTTTTGTTGCAATGTTCTTTATCGTCTGCTTCTTTTTCCTGTGTTGTATTATGACTAGCAATTGTCTGATCAGAAGAGGAATGGTGATTTTCACTATCTTCTTTTTCACAAATGGTTTCTAATAATAGTGACGCCGTAATATCTGTAAAATCAAAAGTTTGTTTTACATTTTACACATATCGTAAGTACCTCAACACAGAAACTAATGACATTTGTCCTTGTATTTGTTACACTCATATGACTTCGATCGTACTGTAAATGCAGGATTTTTCTACTAATGGAATCATTGTGAATATCAAATTATTTAATTTCGTTCAAAGAAATAATTAGTAAAATATCATCAAAGATACCAAGCTGGTAATTTTGGTACGACAGACGCTTGTTTGATCTTAAAAAGACTCATCAGTGATGCTCTAAACAAATGTAAACCAGGTTAACCTAATCCTAATTAAACGATTTAGGTACTCTGAGACAAAAATACCAGTACAATATGTAGACTGTTAGGTCTACTCTCTATACTTTTAGCTTTAACACAGATACTGTTTGACACAGAGATCATCGTGAGTAGTATAAATATGTACATACTATGTATTCCGGATTCTTTCAATCTTGTATAGGCTGTCTTTACAACTGCACATTCGTATTCAAAGTCAAGAATGGTTTGTACTGCTGGGTTATTAGTATAACCATTTAATCCACTAGGTGATTGTTTCGGTTCTTTTTCAGCATCCTGAAATATTAAGCAAACGTAGCTTCACTTGAGGCAATCTACATTAAGAGAAAACTGCAAAGCACATGCATACAAATAAAATTGTTTTTGATTCCTGACCTATTGCAGTATGGGTAATTTCCTTAATAGGAAAACTTTATCTTTCTTTAGGTTATTTATCATCGCGTCATAAATTGAACAGTCCACTAAATAATTCGTTCTTACATTTTCAGCAATTTCCGGATTTTTTCCTTGATGTACATCCTCAATGAACTTCTCCCCCTTACACTGTATGATAAATGGACACTTAGGATACCACCGAGCATGTTCTGTCCAAGGCAAATCCCCTTCCTCCCATCGTCTTAGACCTCCTCCACAGAAAAAGCATCTGCAATGATCCTCGGTACCTAAATATAAAGATTTGAAATTCATAGTTTTAATACTTTAAAATGTAAAAAATATTTGTTCTCGGAAAGGCAACGCGTAATCTTATAAAACCAAAGATACATACCTCCTTAATAAGATGTCGTTTTTGTACTAATTAAGATGCCTTTCCGTCTTAATCTTCAAAGTCCTGGAAAAAAGTCTTGAAAAGATATTCATTCAATATAAATATTTTTTATTTTTAAGTTTCATGTAAATAATTCAATATGTTTCTTAATCTTTATGCTTTTTTTTTAATATTCACAAATTTAATCATTAAATATAAAACCGCTACATTATAAGGTTCAACAATATAAATTAACAGACATTTACCGGTATAAAATAAACCTGCATTAACCAGTTCCTCTGGTGTTTGAGACAGGTATAAAGGCCAGTTATCAAATGATGACAATCGAGTTGTCTTTATAGCATATTTAGGATATTTGGGTTTTTCAAGACAAATGCCGATGTTCATTGATGTCGTGTTTGTAGCCGAAGATCGCGCCGTATTTTCAACTGCATGTGTTGATGTTCGTTTTGGGGCAACGTTTGTCGCTGGTATACGAATGAGACCAGTTGTGTTGTTTCTGGAGTAAAAGGTTTGCGTCTGGTTCGTTCTTATCTGTGATGAAACGGTTTCAGTGCTCTCCCTCTGCCTAGCAGATTCATTTTTCATTTGGTTTTCTGTTAATTCACTATTTCGAGATGACGTTATATTCCTGTCAACTGTAACAGTATTTTCATGATTCCTATCAACTGTAACAGTATGTTCACGGTTCCTGTCATCCGTAACAGTATTTTCACGATTACTGTCATCCGTAACAGTATTTTCACGATTCCTGTCATCTGTAATAGTATTAATACGATTCCTGTCAACTGTAACAGAATTTTCCTGGCTTCTGTCAACTTTAAAAGTATTTTCATGATGAGCTCTTGCTTCATTTGCATGTTGTTCTTTTACAGAGCCATAATGATTCTCACTGACCACTGACAAATTTTCGGAATCTGCAGCGTTTCCACATGCGCCTCCAGATGATGCATATCCACCATATGTAGAAAAAGTCCGCACATCATCTTCCTCTGAAATTTCACTTAAATTTTGTATAACAAATAGACATTTGGGTGCGTTTCGCTTATGAATTTGTTTTGGATCATCTGTTGGTTTCCAATCTTTATGTTTTAAACCACAAATATAGCAGGTAACTTCGTCTCCGTTTCCGTCATAGTAAAAGCCAGCTCCGGCAAGTTTTATCACTGAATGACATGTTTTTGGATACGATGCGAAACTTGATAATCTACTCCACTCAAATTGCATAGCTTCTTTTGAACTACTTGAATGTTTTGATTTCTGTCCATCGACAAATTTATTATATTCCTCAGGGTTCAATACATATGTCTTCAAAAACGTTTTTGGGTAAAAATGAAATGATCTCACAAATCTGTGAAGCCATGCATTACTTTTTGGAATGAAATAGTCCTCTTTTGGCATATTTAGCTTCATGTTTTTAGTCCTCTTTTTATAACATGACAAATAACTTTCCGTATTTTGTAATGACTCCGTGAATTCGTTTTGAAATGTTTTGATAGAAGCCATAACACAGCTAAGTATTGTAACAGCTGCTGCATAGTTGGCTTTCAGTATTTGCTGTTTATTTAAAGTTTTCTCTGTATCATCTTTGCTTGTGGTTGACGTTGGTGTATTCTCATCGTCTTTAAACTGGCCATTTTGTATATTTGAGTTGTCTATCTCAAGATGCATTACGTCCCTAATAATGCCCTCATCTCCATCCTCTTTATCATTTATTGGTACTGCCATTTCCATCCAAATAAAATACTTCTACTTTCAAAATAAAATTACAAAACTATATAAAGCAGGCAATTAGCTTGTCGTGTATAATATATACATTTACAAAATAAAAACCACTTTATTTCTTTTCAGCATATATATACATCATACATTACAAGTTAATTCTGGTTTTATGCAGTATAGGACAAATAAGAGTTATCTTTCTTTATATCTCAAACAGTAGTTGAAATGTGTAACCCCATGTCCTCTTTTTAGTGACCTCATGCTTTTCATGAACCTTGTAATTAGAATAAATAAAAGGGTATATTATACACAGTAAGAAATGACGCAGTTTGAAGAAATGCAGACTAAGGAGACAAAAACAGCGAGATAAGTAAGCAATTGCCAATGTTATATAAGTACAATGTTCTTATCCTCTCTTTGATATCTTCCGCGACGCCCCTTTTTTTACTATAAAACTAGCCAGAGTCTCGAGGCCAGAGTCCGCTATGGAATATTCCACAATTAGTTATATTCTTTGTTCAAAAATTCTATGGAATTTCTTTTATCTTTTCAAAAGAATTTACCATTCTTTAACAAGAATGAGAATATAAGTTGCCGATTAAGGACTCAGAGAGTTAACATTGGAATACTTCATATCATGATGGTCTGATCGATTCTATCAATAACACACAACAACTTGTTTCGTGCCTATATTACGAAGAAGACCTAGTCTGAGAAAAGTTTCAATTTTAGTACCGCCTAAATTCAAAACCGTAAAAACAGAAAATCCATAAACAACTAGTTTAAGATGGCAATGGAAAAACTCAAACATTTTACCATTGAACCAGTAATGCTTTATCTGACCCATTTTACATCAAATTTATGACAACAGCTGTTTTGGTGGGGTTTGAGGGTGAGGTTTTGATCATTCAAATGGTAATGCAAGCAATGCGTACATTTAAAGGATAATGTGTGATTATTTTAATGAAACCAATTCATAATTACTCATCTACCAGTTTGAGTAGGAATAAATTAATTATTCCGTGATTATTGGCGTAATTGATAATTCAACTTTTAGTTTAGGGTATAATGATTAAGGTTCATGTGGACCCTTTGGCTAAAATGGCTGCATTTTCACCTCAAAATTTACTCTAAGTACAGACAAACCTGTGTATCTGGAAAAGTTTTAAAGCATAGCATGCCCTAGATAAATAAAATTCAAATATAGTTTATGTTTTAGAAAATGAAAAACTTAACAGGATTTTACAGTTTACTTTTTTTTATTCCTCCAGAAGGTGCCAATATAAACAAGTTGAGAAAGAGGTTTGAGAACTACCCCACAGGTAATAATTAAAGTGAACTGTTTTGAATGACATGGACAATAGATGGACAATAGATGGACAATAGATGGACAATAGATACCTGACAATAGTTGGTGATTTAAACTGTGTACCTGAGTGTACCATATCAAGTGAAACTCAACAGTTTGTTACTTTTATCATCTTCTGCTGGGACGAAAAAAAGTGCACGGCAAAATCCAGTTAAGTTTTAAATTTTCTAAAACATACAATGCATATGGATTTTATTTATCTAGGGCATGCTATGTCTTAAAACTTTTCCATATGCACAGGTTTGTCTGTACTGAGAATACATTTTGAGGTGAAAACGCAGCCATTTTAGCCAAATGGTCCACATGAACCTATTTTATTAATATTCGAATTATTATTGTAGCATAATCTTACAAAATATATGTTTATGTTGCATTTCTATTTTATTTAAGTAATTTTAAAGCATTCCTGAAATAATTATTTACTTTTATTCTATACTTCATAATAATAGTAAGAGATAATTTAAACTTACCTTGTTATTGACAAGGAAGTAAAAGTTGACAAACAACTGTTATCTGATTAGTTTATATAGTACTCATTTGACCTTGAACTTGTTTATATATTCTTCGTCTAAATTTAGAGCATTTTATAACCTGTAGTTTTCCAGAAAAATCGGTCAATTTCTGGCTGCTTCGACATTAATGATTTTTTTCGAGTTAAACATAGGCAATGTGTAAAAAGTTAGACAAAAAAAAAATACAGAACTCCAAGGAAAATTCAAAACGGATAGTCCCTACTCAAAAGCTCAACACATCAAACGAATAAAAAACAACTGTCATATTCCTGACTTGGTACAGGCATTTTCTTATGTAGAAAATGGTGGATTTAACCTGGTAATGTAGACTTAGAGTTCACAATGTTCTGATACGTAGTAACATATCAAATAGCTTTTTTTTTCACCTACTGATTTAATTCAGTAAACAATCCCAAATTGAGAATTTCTGAGTACTGTCAATATTGCACGATTTGATTAGAATATCCGGAAGCATGAATTGATGACTTCTTGCATGTAGTTAGTACATGAACCTTACTAGAAAAGTAAATAATGTGTAATTATGAAAAGAAATGCAGAAACGGAATATATATACAGGTGTAAGAATAAAAATGTTCATCTTTAATTCATATGTATACATGTATAAAAATTACAAAGAAATATATCATAACTCGTTTATATTTTTTTATACTAGGTAAAATACAATAAGGGAATGGGAAGACAAAAACACTGATGTACTTACAAATTAATGTTCTTTTTGAAAAAGAATCAGAAAGTACAGAAAAAAAGTGCAGCAATAAACGTCACATATTCTTGTGAAACGTATGCATTTTATCTAGGACACCAGGGCATTTAAAACAGAATTGCATAGATAAGAACGAACTGAGTGTGATGTTCGCGGAGATTATTAATTCATTAATATTTAGATTGGTTTCTGGTATTGTTTGTAAGATTGCATATATATTTACCAGTAGTATTATTTAAAAAAATGAGTAAATAAACACATAATAAATAAAGTCATTATACATCCATACATATTTGTGGTTGTTTGAAATAATAAAATGTTTGATTTTTATTCATATCATCTATCTTTTCTAAATGTCTTTTTCATTGTTATATTTAATCAAAATGCGATATAAAAAATCTACATACAACATTAAGAACTTTAGCCTCTGTGTCGGCATAGCAGAAATTATCGTAGTTAAATGCAAAATGACTTTTTTCTGTTTAATGTATTTATAGAAAATTCATAAATAGTTTTTAAGATAAGTGGGGTATTTCGGTAGTATTCCAGAACTTTAGGTAAATTTCCTGGTTCGTCTTGAGTGTTTCCGATTGTCTTTAACAGAAAATGAGGTTTTCAATAATATAGTCAAAACATTTAAAAACCCGTCTTAATATCAAGAAAGTTATTCACATAAGTAATTGGTTACCAGTGTGTTAGTCCCATCTTTCTATCTTAAAATAAAGGTATAACGGGAAAGGAATTTTGTCATTCATTGATCTTAGAAGTTTGATAAACCATCCTAATAAAAACAACGATACCATCTATCTCTTCTAAATTTCCATTTAATTACAGTTTAATACATAAGAAGCTATGTTCAACATAAATCACTTAAGCTTCTGTGTCGGCATAGCAGAAATTACCTTAAAGTACACACGGTAGTCAAATGCAAAATGACTGGTTCAATGACCCCTTCAATGTATTTATATAAAATTTAAAAATAGTTTAAGTGGGGCGTTTCGGGAGTTTTGCAGAACTTTCGGTAAATTTCTTGATTCGTCTTGAGAGTTTCCGATTGTTTTTAACAGAAAATGACGTCATCAATAATATAGATACTATTGAAAACTCTAAATATTTAATATATTCACATAAGTAATCGGTTACCTTTGGCTTCGTCCTCCCTTTATCTTAAAATAAAAGAAAGGGGAAAATGATGCCGTTCATCGGTTTTAGAAAAAAAACGAAAACATATCTTAAAAATACTATGATGTGTTAGTGAGCATGGTGAGTGCGTTTTTACCAAAAAAAAATCCCAGTTTTATTCAGGTTCAGTTTTTTTTACGTTTGGACTGGATTTGTAAAGCGTGGTATCAAATGAATAAAACAATGTAAATTAGAAAGAAGAAAGTCTAGCAATAATAAATATTATACCATCCCTTTTAAATGGTGATTTTGAAATGTAAGACAATTTAATTGAAATCGACTATGGGTGTGTACTATTCCTGTTGAGCGATTCTAATTACAAATTTTATACTAAGAAATTAAAGCTGCAACAATTTACAAGGGTCATATATTTATGTGTTTTTTCCGCGATTAAGAAACAGATATATGAAAATGGATTAAGTCAAAAAAGGAGCCAGAGCTATAAGAATATATTAAATTAAGATTAATGATTGTAAAATTATTAGTGATATTCTAAGAACTTTTTCGGTGAGACCGGTTATTATGAGACATTCAACGCGACTTGTCTAATAAGTTGACGGGATAAATGAGAAAATTGAAACAATTAAACATTTAGGTATAACAATAACAATAATAATTCAGGAATTTAAGTTTTTTGGACTTAACATAACTCGTTTTTAATTGATTCTTGAAAATCATTCTAAAGATGAGTCTCTTAATGTAAAAGCAATATATTTTTTTAAATATCAATATTTTCATATACTCTAAATTATATAATAGTTTCTTGTTAACGTCATGGACATTTTTTCTCCATTTTAAAACTGCAATGTACATTGTTGTGGTAACATCTATCAATTGAAGCTTTTACAGTTGCCCAAAATGACTGGCATCAGCATATAGAGGTCGATTTACTTGTCAGTGTTTATATAATAATATATTCAGTTTTGTCAATATTATGTAAAAATTTTATTCCTGATAATTGTCCAAGAAAAATAAAAGTGGAAAAAGAAAATGCCAGTTAATGATACTGTTGGTTTTTTTTTCGGTGTTTAGATGATATATATATGTATCTTTATTTTTGACATTTTTTTATGTTCATATTTATTCTATCACTTCTTTTTAAATCAGATACTCAGAGACAACTGAAAAGAATCAAGATTCATGCTACGATCATAGGAACATATTCGTAGTCATCTATAATCTATTACAGTTAACCTAAACATGATGGTGTCTTTAAGACTTTTGAAAGGATAACGTCAACTTTTTAATCAGGAATTGTTGATTCAAACGTCTGTTTGCAAGCTGAAACACTTTACCATGAAAACTAAAATATGTATCGCAAGCCCTGGAATATTGTATGAACTGGAAGATATATATTACTATGTAGGCGCAGCTAGAATGATGTTACATAGAAATTAAAAGTTTACAATAGAAAAGCAGAAATCATCTATTTTGTGGTATATTAAAGTTCTCAAACGATCCTCATTGTCAATTAAATAGATGTAAATCAACAGAAAGTTTTTTCAATTTACTTTCGAATTCTGAAAAATTGTTTTAAATACTTCCCTGTTAAAAGATTATTTATGTAAAGCGTGTTTTATCAAAGTAATACTTACTAAAGAAAATATATTTATTATATGAATATAAAGAGATATGGTATAAATGACAATGAGACATCTATCCATCAACGACCAAACGAAGTGGGAGTAAACTGCTGTAAGTCACTGACTGTCATCAACAATGAGCAACCAAGCTTTTATAGGAACACTTTCATTTGTGTATACCTTGAAATTTGAACAAACTCGTCATCTTCTTCCTATCAAAAACTGAAAAGATTACCAGGGGTGATTTAAATGCACATGTCGAATAAGACAGACAATACCATTCAGCAAAGAAATTGAAACAAAACACTTCACAGAAAACGAATTGAGCAAGACAATTCCTTTCAAAAACCAGTGTTAAACTAACTGCACTGGTGATCAAACACTGACAATAACACATACTCAAGTGTATGCATCTTCGCGCTTTTTTGGATTTACTTTTACCAGGAACGCAGAAAGCTAAATATTTGAACAGCAAGAAGTAATAAGAACAGAAACACCTGAAGAGCTCTATGATAATAAGGAACCTACAAATAATATAGGCAAATCCTTCTAAGTTCATCTTTGTCTGAGAGAGTTTGACACTAAGTTTCTTAATGATTTCTATATTTAGTAACGGACAATTCAAGAAAGGAAAGAGCTGATGATACCCAGTTTTATTTCAATCTTCAGTGAGTCATGGTCATATATAATATTTTATAAATTGCTTAATAAGGTGTAATAGATTGCTTCGCCGAGCTCAGCTCGATACGACCGCAGAGGTCAAACCCTGAACAGTTGGTGCAAAAATGGACAAAATATTCGTGCTTGATACAGGTCTGAATTTGGATTGAAATTAAATGTTTGACACATAATAGGTTTCCTACACAGAATAACTGTAGTCAAAGAACTTAGAATTGGTTATATGATTTGAATTTATATTAAATTTTTTGCATTTGTGCAATAAACTATACTTTTGCGAATTGCCCCCCCCCCCCACCCTTTTTTTTTCTTTTTTGCAATACACTATGCTGTTGCAAATTGACCCCCCCAAAAAAAATCAAATTTTTTTTTCACCTAACTTCTAAAAAAAAACATTTTGAGGAAATTTTCTTTTTAATTTCTGAAATCTGTAATGAGAAAAAAAAATTGTTCCCCCACAAATTCTTTTTTACCACACACCCACCCCCCCCCCCCCCCCCCCCTTTTCCCTTTTTTCATTAGTAACTTCTAATAAAAAATTGACAGCTAATCACCTCAAGACAATACAAAATTTCTTTATACATAATTTTAAAGCAGTGTAAGGGAGGTAATCCAAATTTAACATTGTACTTAAAAGTGATTGTCCACTAACAAGGAAACCCTTGTATTTTCCCCTTTTCTGACCCTAATTCATAAACGGTTTGAGCCATTACCCCCCAAAGATATTCTTACCATCCCTTTGTGGTATGGAAACTTGTTGTAAAATTTCAGAGAGATCCATACACCGTTCCACAAGTTATTGTCTGAAAACTAGAAAAATAATTTTTTGGGCCCTTTTTTGGCCCCTTATTCCTAAACTGTTATGACCATAACCCTCAAAATCAATCCAAACCTTCCTTTTGTGGTTATAAACCTTGTGTTCAAATTTCATAGATTCTATTAACAAATACTAAAGTTATTGTCCGGAAACCAAGTGTCTTCGGACGACGACGACGATACCAATATACGACCGCAAATTTTCGGTCGTATAAAAATGAAACTAACAGGCAATTGTGATCAAGAAGAGTATGGGGCATGCTTAACATCCTTTTAAAAAGAAAAGCACTGGTCCGTTAATTTAAAGCAAATAGAATGCTTCGCTGAGCGCAGCTTGATACGACCGCAGTAGTCGAACCCTGAACAGTTGGGGCAAATTTGGACACAATATTCAAGCTTGATACTATCTGAATTTTGATTGTGATGAAATTTTTGCCATAATATAGGTTTCTGACACAAAATAAATGTGGTAAAAGATTTTACAAATCTGATGCGCAATACTGTGCAATTGAAGATTTCTCCTTGAAATTTTTCAAAAATTTGGTACTTAAAAAATACCTAAAATCGTGAGCGCTTTGACCAAAAGGAACCTAAAACGTGTAGCCTAATTTTTAATAATGATAATTGTTGTTGATATCAAGCCTTTACCACACTGAGGCATTACAAACCAATATCATTACTAATGGTCCATGAAAAAATGTCAAGATCAGATGAACCTGGACAGACTGATTTGAACATCTTACAAATATTCTATAACCAAATACAATCACCTGTTTCTTGGTATCTGGGAAACTGAGTAACTCAGAAACTGTCCTAATCATAGCTTAACATTGAACAAAAACCATGAAAGAGTTCAGTCAGATAAACCCAGTCAGAATGACATTTCTGCGCACTCCTAGGTCGTTTCATACACAAAATACAGTTTACTTTAAACATATATTACTGAATTTATCCAAGAAAATTACATATCACAAAAAGTTGACTGAAAAAACCCTTAAAATTGAGACCAAAGTCATATGAAACCCATCAGACAGACATGTAGACCTTACAATCATTCTATACATCAAATATAGTT